ATCCTGCGAATGTCAATCAATATGGATATGATCGGATTTGTCCGATATTATTGCCCAAAACACATCCTCTTACATCATTAGTAATATTACGATATCATGAAAATAATAAGCATTCGTTAAAGAATAGTGTAGTTGCACATATTACACAAAGATTTTATATACCACATATTAAGTGGATTGTTAATCAAACTATTAAGACTAAATGCTTAAATTGTAGAATTGACGCAGCAAAAGCTCAAACACCATTGATGGGTGATATTCCAGCAGAAAGATTAGCTCATCATAATCCAGCATTTACGAATGCTATTGTCGACTTAGCTGGACCTATTTCGGTGAATATCTACAGAAACATAACAGACAAGCGGTATATATTCGTTTATAGTTGTCTTACAACTCGTGCAATACATTTGGAATTAATAGAGCGAATGGACTCAGATTCAACATTAATCGCATTAAATAACACAATAAACTTGAGAGGTGCACCAAAAATAATTGTATCAGATAATGGCTTGAATTTCAAAGGCGCTAAAAATATTTTAGAAAATGATGTAAATAGATGGAATAAGATGCTCTTAAAAAATGGACTCATTACAGCTCCAATTACTTGGAAATTTGGTCCTCCTAGATCACCTCACTCACAAGGATCAGTAGAACGTATGGTTGGACTTACCAAAACTATTCTTAAGAAAATAATCGAAATGTCTGCGATCCATAGAAAGTTATTTAATGATTTTATGCTAAGAGCTATTTTAAATGAGGTTATTGGCATTTTAAATAACCGTCCGTTGACATTAATTCCGATACAAGGAACTAACACTGTAATACTGACTCCTAATTATTTTTTGATTGGACGACAAACTATTCAAACAGTTCCATGTACTGTAAATAATAAAAAACCCTTGACAGAATCTTATGATGACTTGAAAATAATCTCCAACATACTTTGGAATCATTGGATAAAGTATTATTTGCCAACTATATTAATGCGAGAAAAGTGGGTAGACACTAAAGTTCCCTTAAAAGTTGGTGATATCGTTATGACTGTTGACACAATTATAGTAAATTCGTGGAGAATTGGAAAAATTGTAGAAGTTATAATTGGATCCAAAAATCAAGCCAGAGAGTATAAAGTCTTGTTAGGCAAAAATAATCTAATTTCCGAAATTAAGAATCTTTCGCACAAAAAGTTGCTAGAAAAGTATAAGAATGAAAAGTATAGTATTGTAAATCGCGGTGCGTTATCCGTAGCCAAGATTGATGTAGAAGCCATAAAAATGTAAAATGATTGGATCAAAATAACGTTCAATCAAAATTTAAAAAAAAAAAAAAATCAAAGTCAAATTTCTACAAATATAGCAAATGCTATAGACAAATTATATCAAATTGATAAAACTTCAAATAAACGTTAAAATTATATTAACACCATAATTTTTAGGCAGTTGCTATAAAATTGGCCAATTTATAGCAAACTCAATTTAAATCTTTAAAAATACGTTTGAAATTTCAAATTTTAATGCAACCAAAAAGAGTTGACATAAAAAATATATATATATATATATAATTATTTATCTAAAACATGATCAATCAAGAAGAATTGACGTGAAAAAAAAAAAAAAAAAAAAAAAAAAAAAAAAAAAAAAAAATAATTTATTAATAACATGAAACCAAAAAGAGTTTACATGTATCAAAACATTAGTCTGATCGACAAAAAAGTTGAAACATGACAAAAATATTGGCAAATTTCTCATCAAAACATTATTATTTCTGTTTATATCTTCCTTTAGACTGCAAAATGGATGTAAACGTGTTAAAAGTTTCATCAATCTACAACAAAAATGACCCTAACAAGTTTTTATACGATTTGAGGCGAAAAATTGGAATGGATTACGAGCAATTTAAAGACATAACATCAGTACATATAGAGCAATTAAAGAATGAACGATATCATCTTCGTATGCAAATTAAGGATGGAAATATTATCGAGAAATTGAAACAAAAAAGTGAACTCAACGCAGACGGGAAGTCATATACTTTAAGATTCGATTTATACTCATATTTGATTATGACACCAGATCAAACAAATGAAAGAATCGTATTTGAATACACTGACTACAATAATGCGAGAATATTAAAGATCAGGAAACTGCCTAAACAGCATATTTTGGACATATTAAATAAATTGAATAATTATGGAAGTAAACATACAGAATATGTCTCTGTCAATAACACTCATGCGTTTGTTGGGTTTAAGGATAATAAGGATGCACGGAAAATCATGAAAAAGTTCATCAAAGATGGATTTGAAACAAATTTGGCGCAGTCCTGTCTCAAAATCATAAAGTCGAGTGGAAATTTCCACAATATTCATCAGCATCAAAATAAAGGAATACATCATTCAAAATATTCACAAGCAGCTCCAAGATCACAACATCCTTATAAGAAGACACCTAAGAAAGAACGTAAGACTCGAAAGGAAAAGGATCAACATCATCCAACAACTTCCAGCAATAAATTTTCATTAAAATCATTTGATAACAATATAAATCAATCAGTTCCACAATTACCAATGAATTTTCAACCATTTCCTACTTTCATTAATACTTTCTCATCAAATCGTCAACCTTTAGTGACAACTATTCCTTCTCAATCTATGCAAGTTCAGCATTTCAATCCAATGTCATTTCCTGTAAATCAATATCCATTTTATAATTTTCCAATTGCACCAAACAATTATGTAAATAGTCATCCTATGTATAATGACTATAATCTTGCAATGTTTCCAAAGTATACCATGTAAAATTGATTAAATTTCTTGCGCGCCGGAATGTAAAATAATTTCTCATAGAGAGATATTATTTACTGTCAGTTCCATATATTACGAATAGATTCCATGAATTATGCTAGGTAAAATAGAAAATTATAAAGAAAACTTAATTTATCGTTAAGAATCATTAACGATTATTAATAATTCAAACTTCAAAACCTTACAAAAAAACCTCACAGAGTGAGTTCAGAAATAGATAAAAAACGAAGAAAGCAAGAATTAAAAAATTTAATTAATTAAGACACAAAAGAGTAAGTTTCAAAAAACAACTTGGAATAAAAATATTAATTAAGTCCTATTCTAGGATTTAAACATAAAATAAGGATAAATAACCAGCCTAAAAAGCCGAAATAAAAAATAAATTTGAAGAATTTATAAAAGAATTTTTTCCTCGTGGTCTCAACATTTTTTCAATTGACTCCGTGCGGATATTTAAGCTTGGAGATCCAGAAGCTTGGCTTACTAAAGATTCCAGAGGAAGTTGAGGAACATTTTCCATAAAATTTCAACAAGTAAGTCTGAAATTCCAAATTATTAAAATAATTTAAAACAATTAAGGCTGTTAAATGTTAAAATCTCGAAAAAACCTTAATTAATTATAAACAAACATTGCTTTGTCGTCATTCTGAGCGACAATATGCTAATTATGGAAAAATGCGTGGTGACGAACTTTTGCTTTGAATTTTTATTTCAGATTTGCATGATCTGCCTTACTATGACCAAAAATAATAATTCTTAAAAATGCGCTAAAAACACCTTTTTGACTACGACCTTCCATGCACACACCTGCAACTCCGTATGAACTCTAGCTGCACATCTGCTCAATTTTGCAAAATTAAAGTATATCAAATAACGAATAAAAGAATATCAATGTATTTCAATTAAGGGAAATAAATGAGATAAGGCATGATAAAATCACACATTTAATCTTATTTATTATTAAAGATTTCAGTTGAATCTTGACACTGAACGCTAATATTCAAAGAAAAATCAAATCTTCTGTAAAAATTAAAAGTTTTTGTTGTATAAAGACGGTTAATTTAATGATGATGGACAGGGTGGGGAGAATTTCATGAGTTAACTCACAATTCCAAATTCAAAAAATGAATTTGAGTTAAAATTCCGTTACAAAATGAGTTTGAAAATGAATTTGAATTTAACTCATTTTTCAAAATGAGTTTTTTTTGAGTTTGAGTTTAAACTCATTTTTCAAAATGAGTTGGAAAATGAATTTGAGTTTAAACTCATCTGTAAAATTGAGTGGAGTTTTGAATTGGAGTTTTAAAAACTCCCTAAATTCCTTTTCATATAAGATTCATCTCTGAAACTCTCAACGATTTTTTTAAGAGTTGCCACTTTTGCCTGAATTTCTCGAAAGGATCATTCCATAATTCTTGCTGATATGGCTTGCTGCATATTTTGGATGTTTTGGTTGCAATTCTGTTCAGAATTTTTGGAAGATAATGAAGGAATAAGAGTTTATGGATTTGAGGAAATGACTGGATGACAAAAATGTTCATGCATTTGCTGTACATTTTATTACTGGATCTTTTGGTTCCAAATGTTTGCAATAAATGTTAAAGTAAGCAATGATTTTCAGAACTTTCACAGAAAAATGTTCATTATGCGATTCTTTCACTTACTGTGCCATTATGGCTTTAGAAAAGGATGTCCACGTAACTGGACATGATCATTCATGACTGGATGTAGCTGCATATGAAGATCCGATCACTTCCAATGCTTCAAAAACTTTTTTTCAGCAATTTTCAGCAACCAAGTGTTCCAAATTGTTTTAAATAACACAGAGGATCCATAGGCATTGGAACTGCCTGGTTCCATTACATCCATAAAAAATTTTTTGTTCCATTTTCATCAAGGAATAACCTCCTGAAACAAATTTTTTTTTTGAGGAACCGACCAGTTCCTTTAGTGCCTGGAGACTAAAAATGCTAAATATGAAGTCGTTTAGCATGAAGCACTATTTCTGAGCATTTGAGTTAAACTCAAACTCAAAAAAACTCATTTTGAAAAATGAGTTAAATTCAAATTCATTTTCAAACTCATTTTGTAACGGAATTTTAACTCAAATTCATTTTTTGAATTTCGAATTGTGAGTTAACTCATGAAATTCTCCCCACCCTGCCATGGACGCGTGAAAGAAATTCATCAATCGGATATGAAACCATTCCCAAAACTAGTTTATTGTGGATTTATGGACAATGATATTAAAATCCTCGAAATTGATTTATTTGACTTTAATCCAGACTTACAACTAGTGTCATTTTGGAACAATAAAATTATAATAATTGGAGCTGCTGTTTTTGACAAATTACCTAAGCTCACATGGCTATACCTAGACTTAAATCGATGCATCAATATGAGATCTGAAAGTATAGTCTCTTTGACAAAATACATCATTAGGCATGTTAAATATAAGTGCATTGATCCTGAAACTATCACAAGTGATAAAACAATTGACTTTGATCAAGATTTTGAGAATTTGGAGATGGTTCAAGCTGCTATCAATGAATTGAAGGAGAATATCACATCTATTAATGAACACATTGCTAATATTGAGGAAACTAATGTTCAGCTGAAAGAAAAGATGGAAGAATTTTCAAATCATAATGGAAGCTACTTGTGGATAGTCATTGTCATTTTTATAGCTTTATTAGCTGCTGGTGGATTTATTGCATATAAAAGATTGAATATTTATCGTTAAAATCTTGGAAATTCAATCAAATTTTAAAATTGTTAAACAAATCGTAAAACAGTGTTTAAACTGCATATAAAACAGCAACGACATCTTAATCCACGATGACCACTTAACTTATCACATCTTCTATAAATATTTAAATTTATTCTCATTAATCTGATTCAAATCAGTTGATTATATCGTGATTATAATTAGTCTTCATCATGTTTACATTTATTGCCATCGGAATTGCCATTATCATCATTATTATCTGTCTTGCTGCTATCATTATAAAAAATTTTCTCCATCATCTTCATTATCTTTTGTAATTTTATTTAATTATATTAGAGGAAAGAATACAAATTGAAAGTTGATTAGAGAACATGATGAAAAATTACAAATAAATTGAAGGGAATCATTAACTGACTGATATAAACTCCCACTAGTGCACTGGTAATTTTTGAAATTGCATTGAATTGTGGAAATTGTCATCAATTTTCTTTCAATATTTGCAGTTAATTTATAGTGTAATAAAAAATATGTATTTTTTATGGATTCAGAAGAAGTTTCAAGCAGTGTTGATAGTTCTGGATGTAGTCAGTTGCCATAGGTATTTATATAATGCTGTGATGTTATTTATGGAATCAAAAAAATTGACAAGAATTGAAGATTTCAAATTCAAAATAAGCTAAGATTAAGACATGAAGGCAAGGTATTAGTACCTAGTGTTATCTGAACATCGAAAATCCATTTAGTGATGCATAATTGTCCGAAATAGTTTGAGCAGATTCTAAAATAAAGCTGGATCAGGAGCAAATTGCTAGAGCTCCTCAGTACAGTCACAAGTAAATTTTGTATATATCCCAAAACATATCCAAGTAGCACAAGTCGGTTAATCGAATAGAAATCCAGCGCCAAACCGACAGGACCCTGGAATCAAAGCCAGCAACATGCCAGAGTCACACCGACTTGGTACCAGATTTCTAATCGATTAACCGACATTTACTATTTAAAATAGTGCATCGAACTTCAGTTCTACTATAAAATGTCGAATGTAGCCACACAAACTAAGACATAACCCAATGTTTGATGACTCCAACTCCAGACTATCAACAAGATTAGGTCAATTCCCCATTTGACTCACAATAAAAGTCAATAACAACGTTTCAAAAGCACTTTATGAGTTCACAGCATCAAAGATACAATTTCCACAGACTTTTACTCCTAGTCACTGAAACTGCACTTAACAAATTCTCTGAAAATTCTTTTCAAGCTAACCGCTTTCAATCATATTGATTTTCAATTTACGATAAAACTTCAGCAAAAAAAAGTTCATTTTTTCATTATTTACTGCACTTGAGAAGCTCTCCCTTCCTTTCATCTTCTCTCTGTTCGAAAAAAAAAATAAAATAAAACTTGTTACAAGCTCTTAAAAGTCATTCAACATTTACTCGATACACTAATTGAAAAATTGAATTCCCTTTTATTGCAATTGTGTATCAGAAACTCAACATGATGTTGATGATGATGAACACAACCGATTTCATTGCTTTAAAGTAGTTTGCGAAGTGTAGGAAAAAAATTTTAAACTTGAGATTTTTAATGAAAAAATTCAGGGAAGTTGTTGGATGGGAAGAGAATCTTTAGGGTTCAGGGATGGGTTCGATGATTAAGAAAATGTTAAGAATCTTCTTCATCTACTATTTTGAAGGACTTCAAGTTCTTATTAGACTTATTTCTGACCAAACAATCGTTCTATCCTTATTTTATACTATAATCCAGTGGTGTAACCTTTTTTGTGCCACGGAACACTTGGTGGTAAGCCATGAACAAAACCACGAACGGCATAGGATTCGCCATGAGTTGGCAAATGGGTGGCTATCACTGCTTTAATCTAATGAATTAAAGTCAAACCTAGTTTACTAGTTCACGATCCAACTAGACCAGAGTTGTACAAAGTTTTTGAACCACGGCACACTTTAGGGGTAAGCCATAACCAAAGTCGGACAGAGCATGCGGCTTTCGTCATTTCCAAATTTTTTACGGCACACAGTTTGGACAACACTGAATTAGACTCATCTTTAGTTTAATTGTATTGCACTAAATATTGAATTGTCCACTCCTGTCTTACCCCAAACTGTATTTCATTTCTTACAATTCAAACTTATCTAAAAAATCATTCACAAAGATATATTCAAGAATGCATCAATCCATCTTAATGTCCACAAGAATCCCTAATCCCAACAGAATGTCATATATGTTCATGTACATGATATGAAATGAAATGGGAAAATAAATCAAATAAACTTGAACTATTTCGTGTTCCATTATTATAAAAGTGATGCATTTTCCTCAATTCCTTACTTCCATTTCAAATGCACGTTAAATTGCCACAATTGAAAAATTTGTTTCATCGATATTGTTGAATGAAAGTTTTTTCGTCTTCCTTAAGCTTTTCATAAGTTTTTTTTTCTCATATATTATTATACAAGAATGAAGAAAAATAAATATTAGAGTGAAATAGTTGACGATGAAGGAAATCTTTTATGAAAAAAAAAAAAAAATCTTTTAGCAATTGTAGCAGAAATTTTCATCTTGATTCAATGCAGAACATTTTTTTTATTTTCACTAATGGATGAATGAAAGTTATCTGAGCGGATGAATGAATTGAGTGAACTGAATTGAAATGAGAATGAGAATGAGCAGAATGAGAGATAAAAGGTAAAAGCGAATATTCTTCTTTTATGTGCAATATGAGATGATATAGCAGATGAAATGCAAGACAAGACATAGCTAAGAATTATGTTGTGCAATATTTAAAGAATGACTTCTTTATTCTTGTTGAAAAGCTCAGCATATTTTTTTTTGCATGGCTGGAATGAAAGAATCTAAAGGTGGGAAAGTTAAAGAAGCTTTGATTTAAGGCGTCTTTTTAGTAAGTCAACTTAGTAATTCAACTTAGTAATTCAACTTAGTAAGTCAACTTAGTAAGTCAACTTAATAAGTCAACTTAGTATTTGAATTTAGTAACTGAACTTAGTAATTGAACTTTGTAATTGAACTTAGAAATTCAACTTAGTAATTCAACATAGTAATTCAACTTAGTAAGTCAACTTAGTAAGTCAACTTAATAAGTCAACTTAGTATTTGAATTTAGTAACTGAACTTAGTAATTGAACTTTGTAATTGAACTTAGAAATTCAACTTAGTAATTCAACATAGTAATTCAACTTAGTAAGTCAACTTAGTAAGTCAACTTAATAAGTCAACTTAGTATTTGAACTTAGTAATTGAACTTAGTAATTGAACTTTGTAATTGAACTTTGTAATTGAACTTAGTAATTGAACTTTGTAATTGAACTTTGTAATTGAACTTTGTAATTGAACTTAGTAATTCAACTTAGTAATTCAACATAGTAATTCAACTTAGTAAGTCAACTTAGTAAGTCAACTTAATAAGTCAACTTAGTATTTGAATTTAGTAACTGAACTTAGTAATTGAACTTTGTAATTGAACTTAGAAATTCAACTTAGTAATTCAACATAGTAATTCAACTTAGTAAGTCAACTTAGTAAGTCAACTTAATAAGTCAACTTAGTATTTGAATTTAGTAACTGAACTTAGTAATTGAACTTTGTAATTGAACTTAGAAATTCAACTTAGTAATTCAACATAGTAATTCAACTTAGTAAGTCAACTTAGTAAGTCAACTTAATAAGTCAACTTAGTATTTGAACTTAGTAATTGAACTTAGTAATTGAACTTTGTAATTGAACTTTGTAATTGAACTTAGTAATTGAACTTTGTAATTGAACTTTGTAATTGAACTTTGTAATTGAACTTAGTAATTCAACTTAGTAATTCAACATAGTAATTCAACTTAGTAAGTCAACTTAATAAGTCAACTTAATAAGTCAACTTAGTATTTGAACTTAGTAATTGAACTTTGAAATTGAACTTAGTAATTGAACTTAGTAATTGAACTTGGTAATTGAACTTTGTAATTGAACTTTGTAATTGAACTTAGTAATTCAACTTAGTAATTCAACATAGTAATTCAACTTAGTAAGTCAACTTAGTAAGTCAACTTAATAAGTCAACTTTGTATTTGAACTTAGTAATTGAACTTAGTAATTGAACTTAGTAATTGAACTTTGTAATTGAACTTTGTGATTGAACTTAGTAATTGAACTTAGTAATTGAACTTAGTAATTGAACTTAGTAATTGAACTTAGTAATTGAACTTAGTAATTGAACTTAGTAATTGAACTTAGTAATTGAACTTAGTAAGAAAATATAATATTTGGCTTGTGAAGTGATCAAATATAGATTTATTAGAACAACCTTAAATAAATGCTTATTCATCTCAATAAAAATCTCAGTATTAAACTCCAAAACTACCAAAACCACCTTCAGAATACACCAAAAAATGCTATCAAAAATATTCCACTTCAATATGATAGTTTTGCACTTAAACTTAACTCATAGATAAAGATAGAGAGCGAAAGCAAGAAGCAACTGTTAACAAATCGCCTGAATCTTTATATAACATAAAAGATCTTTTAAGAATTATGCTAATGAAATGCAAAACCTTTAAAAGCATAATAATCATCATCGTCAGCACCACATAGAGATGCTAATCTCAAAAATATTGTTAAAAGTAAGGAAAAAAAATGTTTTTCTCGAAATTCAATTGCAGACTTTCCTTCCATTATTCATACACATTATTTCCTCTCAGGCATAAAAGTTTCTCCATCACATTTACAAACACCCATTTAGCTTACCTTTCTCTTTCTTTTTCTCTCGTTAGTTAATCGCACACTCATCGTGTGTACATAAAAGTGTGAAAGTAAGAAAGTATTTATTGGAAAGCTCGTAGAAAAGAAATATTTTGACACGTTCGAAGATCATAAGTCAAATATGTAACGTAAATATATATATCGTATAACGATAATAATTTAACACGAAATATGGTGTGACAATTTTATCGCTATATTTCGGAATAGCTATATAATCCTAATAATAATAAGTAAGTAAGTAAGTGTATATAATGTGTATGCGAGAGGTGAAATGTTGTTGAAAGGGAGACTAAAAGGAGCGATAACGTAAAAGAAGTGAAATAAAGAAGATGTGAAAAGTTTTATGAGGTGTGATGTGCTGTTAATTAGGGATTTATGTCATATGGCTTACGTTTTGTCATAAATAATGAGTTTATGATTCCCCATTTAGCTTAACAATCTCCTTTTTCATCCATTTCGTCATTACTCGCAAGTGATTATTCGTTAATGACATAAGTCGTTGTTGTTTGGATGGATTTAAGACAAAATAAAATTAAACTCAATTTTCACGTCCACGCTTCAAAATTTAAATTTTTTACTTTCGAAATTAAAAATTTTCACTTTCGAAATTAAAATTTTCACTTTCGAAATTAAAATTTTTCACTTTCGAAATTAAAATTTTTTACTTTCGAAATTAAAAATTTTCACTTTCGAAATTAAAAATTTTCTTTTTCGAAAATCAAAAATTTTAATTTCCAAATTGAGATTTTTAACTTTCAAAGTTCAAATTTTTCGCTTTCGAAAATCAAAATTTTCACTTTCGAAATTAAAGCTTCTGTTTTCGAAAATAAACTTTTGACCATCCACTCAATGCACGAAACTCTTATTTGATAATTTCTCCGATTAAACAACTTTTTCCATCAACTAATCATAATTCAATGCTTGTGTTGCTGATGCTTTTATTTATATCACACATTTGTCATGATGATACGATCTTCAATCATTTATGAGAGCACGACTGGCCACAAAATCTATACACAAGCATTCTCAATAACTAATGCAATTAATTCCATATTAAGTGCTCGTACCATAACTCATCGTATTCTCATTTATTATCTAATTTTCATCGGGTATGATTTACAAAGAATTGCTGTGTGTCTTTAATTACTCATAACAATCTTTTCGGCATTAGGCTAAATTGGAATTCGGAGGAAATTAATGAAAATTTTGTAGAAACACGTGTGACGAGTTTGTGGTATTAAATTGCTTGTTTTCACTTATTTTTCAACTGCTTAAATTGATCCAAAATTTACTCAGACTTAAAAAAATTCTAGGAACTCCACAAACAAAAGTATTCATCATCAAAAACCCAACAGTATCGACACACGTAATATTAACATTCAAATGAAATTTTGCATTTAAATCATTCAAAAAACACGATAATGTCAACAAATAAATAAATCTAGGAATGAGACTGATAACTTCAGCTTCAGCATTCCCATTAAAAATATTATTTCTTTGAAAAAAACATACGACAATTTTTTTATGTCTCAAACTTCTTATCTATATGTTACACAGTGCGAGTGAGTATTCACTCTAAAATGAGAAATTTTTGTCGTGTTAGGAATGATTTAATTTTTTATTGGGGAATAGATGCGGGTGGATGAAGATTGGGACGCATTTTGGAGATTCATTATGGATGTTTATCGGTTAGGGAGTAAGGGGCAGGGTCGTAGTAAGAGGGGGTTTTCGGGGTTAACCTCACCTCTCCCTTTGAAAAATTTCTTTAATTTGCTAGGGTTTTTCTTGCCCAAGCAAAAAAATTTATGGCTCCGCCCCTGATTAGGGGTCATGTAATTCCATTTTCTGGTGGTGAGGGGGGGGGGAGAATGACATTTATTTAAATGGACAGAAAACTTATCGATTGTAGTTTTCTCTAAAACTAGCTGAATACAATTTTTTATCAATTATGGGGGGGAGTAAATTCAAAACTCCCCCACCCCCCTTCTTAAAACAAACAGATGAAAAATCAGATGAGGTTTAAACTTTCATGCTTTAATACCCTTTCAAAATATTTCAATTTTCTATAGAGCTAGGGTTTATTCCCCCTCCCCTTCCCCCCCCTCACTCTCCTTCAAGATGTACTCTTGATAGTCAGCAAGGCAACTTGATAAAGTTACAATCTCCTTCAAAACAAGTTCCAGAAAAAAATGATAACATTCATTTATTTTTATTACAGCACCCGCCCTATGCGATAACTCTGGATTAATAACAGAGAATAATAATTATATTTAAAAGAACATTAAAATTTCAATTTTCATCTCAGTCTCAATCTAGCGACACAGCTTGCTCGAGGAAGCGAAAAGTTAAAAAAAATATATAGAAATTAATTTATTTAAAGATAAAGAAACAAAAAAAAAACTCAGAAAATTAAAGAACAAGCAATGAAGTGTCGAGGAATAAAAATTTTAATTTTATTGACATTTGTGATATCAGAAAGTGTACAGGAAGAGGCAACCGTATCATGCACAAGAGACTCACGATTATTTTTCGGTTCGGATCGATTTTATTCGAATGCAGTTAAATATAAATGCACATTCTCGAATGTTAATTCGTTTGATGATATGAAGACTTCTATAGCTTCACAAACTATAAGTCCAACAAATATCATTTCAATATCGTTTAATCAGTCAAACTTATCAGAACTTCCGGACCGTGTTTTAAAAGATTATTCAAATTTGAAATCATTTGATGGAAGCAACTTGAGGCTTGACACATTAAGTTCAAGTTCATTTGGAAATTATCCCGTAATGGACCTCATCAATTTGTCCTTCAATCAAATCAAGTCCCTGACCACAAAAGTCTTTGCAAACAAGAAAATAAAGTCATTGGATTTATCAAATAATTTAATAGATTCTGTGGACGAAAGTGCCTTTACTGGAAGTGAAATTGATAGAATCAACTTGTCATTCAATAAGATTAAGGATGTCGCGTTTGTGACTTATTTTAAATTCTTTAATGTCCTGCAAATGAATAATAATGAAATTGAGAGATTTGATCAAGTCAAGTTGACTACCTCTAGTTGGGGTGGGCTTAGAGAAGGCTTCCTGATTGCACAATTTCCAACAATTAATTTAGGAAACAATAAATTAAAGAAATTTGAATGCAGATCGACAATCAAGTTTATTCTTATTGAACTTAAAAACAATCAAAATTTAAAGGAACTAGACCTTGGCGAATGCATGATTAACCACCTAGACGTCTCAGATTGTGAGAATTTAAAGAGCGTTAAATTGACTGATAACCTTGTTGGATTTACTGCGCAAAATGTGAAATTCGACGAACTAGATCTCACAAATACTAAATCACTAGTTTCTTTAAAGCTCATGAACAATTCTATAAGTATTGACATGGTGAATTCGATAATGAAATTAGAGAATTTGACAACGCTCGACATTTCGAGGAACTCAATTGGCCCATTGAACATTTCAACATTTGCAAAATTAAAGAATTTGTCAACATTGGGACTGAAATCAACAAACATATCCAATATTCAATTTGGAACGTTCTCGCATCAAACAAATGTCAGAGTGTTAGACATTTCCGATAATAATTTAGGAAGTTTTGATATGCAAATGATATTTTCCATGAATAGTCTAACATACCTCGATGTATCCGGCAATGAACTAATTGAATTGTCCAATATTGAGGCTGCACATAATACATTCGCATTGCTGGAGAAAATTGATTTAACAAATAACAAATGGACGTGTAACTACCTTATCAAGTTAATTAAAATAATGCGTGTGTATCGTGTAACACTTATTCAGTCGTCAATTGAAGAGCACCGATCAAATATTAATGGAATTTATTGTAGACATGTAGATGGTGATGATAGCATTGTCGAGCCACTAACACCAAATCAATCTAATATTACAGACATTCGTGATAAAATGAATGAAATTGTCAGTCAGTTGACGAAAGAGTCTCAATACAGGAGTGCAATGGAGGCAAGTCTAATAGCACTCGAGCGGCGTATTGATAATCAAGTGTCAATGATAGCATCAAATGAAGCTCTTCGTAATGTTAGAGGCAATGATACACAAAATATTGAAGTCAAAAATGGCACACTTTTTGAAATGACACTTATCGTTGTCTTTTGCTGCTTTATAGTCTTTCTGTCAATGAAAATTATCGTTTTTGTCAGGACTAATGTACTCAGTAAGCCGAGGCCTATGAGAATGGGATTATCAGAAAATACTTTAACGATGAATGTCGATGATTATTAAGACTTTGTCTGTGCTTTAATTGGACGAGATGGAGGTCGCAAATTGAGATTTAATGACATACTTTTTTTTCGCTCTCGTACTTTTTTAAATCAGTGAATAAAGAAAGTATATTTTTTTACGAACAGTAAAGATTGTTTACTATTCTGAATGCTTAAAATGTTGCAGGATTTTTCAGGGAATTATTGAGGCTAGTTATAATACTAGGGTTTGATTTGCATGATGTGTTCTTGGAGCTGAAGTTGCTCGGTGGCGGAATGGTTTGGTACTTCGGTTCCTAATTATAGCAATACCGACACAGCGATCATGGGTTCGAAACTCGGCATGGGAAAATTTTTGCTTGTCAATTTTTGAATCATATGTACTGGAAATGAGGCTCACAGCCTTCCTTTATAGGTTAAAGGCAGAAATGTCATCAGAGGAGTAGTTTGGATCCTGCTATAAACTGTAGGTCTAGGTTTGAGCGGGAGGTCTGGCGAACCCTCTTTTGTTAAACTATCATTAGCCTTGTAATGCTTACAACACGAAGCTATGGATCTTAAAGTCTGAATGCTTAAGTTTATTTTTTTATGGCCATTACGGTTGACTAGTTCAGTAGTTCTAAACTTTTTTGGTTTCTGGTACCACTTTATTAAAGAAGGACTGGATGTGTCTCCAAAAACTTTTAAAAATGAAAAATAGAAAAAAAATGTCTTGAAAAATCATCCATAAAACTCCAACTGTTCACTAAGGTGCCTCAGAACATAGTTTGAGAACAACTGAGCAAAATATTTGCTGTCACTTGTCTGATGAAATTTCAAGAATATTTCACAAACATCCTTGAGGTCAATAGCAAATATTTCCTATACATTTTTACACTTAATTATAAAATTCACTTTAATTATTTTTAATACCATATTTACGTCAAAAGCCAAACAGAAATCCCCACAATATAATTTTTTCTAGTAACTCATTTTTTTGTTTTTCGCTTGATAAAGCTTAAATCATTTTATTATCGCCATCAAATTATTAAAATTAGGTAATTTAAATTCATCATCTTATCAAATTTGATTCAATTTTTTTGACTCCATAAAAATTGTGACTTATCAGTAGCTTTAAATTTTAATTATTTTAGAAACTTCTAGATTATTATTTATATTTATTTTAATTCTGTTTTGGAAAGGATGATTTAGTTATGTTTATCATAGTCATTTTTTGGTTGAGTTTTTGCTAGTTAATGACATTGAAATGAGATTTAAAAAATTATTTTGATATAAAATTTTATTTCATTAAACTAGAGCTGATAAAATAGCTAGTTAAAAATCTGAGCATAGTAAAACAATTTTTTGTTTTTAACAGTCAAACGTTAATGACAAAATCAGTAATACTTCAGTTTTATTTCCCAGGAATTCCCTTGGCTTGGGGACCGTTCATCAGGCATATAGCCAGTGGAGATTTGAGTGGCAAGTCCCGCTAGGTCAACAGAAATTTCTTCATTTTGCTAGGCTTCTCATTAAAAACTCCTAAAAATCCACCAATTAATTTTTTTATACAATGCCCTCCAAAATATTCCTGGATAATCCATTACCCTTCACTCATAGAAAGTTTATGACAGAATCTAAAAATCCAATTTTTTGCATATCATAATAAGTGAATGACCCCTCGCATGTTTTGCAATTTAAAAGTAATAACAAAAGTATCACATTAGTTTATATCTTCCTCCATACACAATCACGAATCGGATGATAATTTACAATTTATGAACTGTGCAAAATTTGTTTATAATTTCATAAAAACGAAACAATATGAACTTTTAGCTGTGTATCAGCTTTCCCAATAAATCTTTGTTAAATTTATATTCTTCGTGTTTTTATAAGAGAGATTTGTTTGCATAAGCACGAAAAACAGCACAGCTCAAACACAACATTGAAAGAGTAAAGAAATAATTTTCTTCTTATTCAAACCAGGCTTTTTTACGCTTCTTAATGTGATTTTGTTGTTCTGCTTCCATAGAAAGAGTAAAAAGATTTAGGGGCCATAAGGTGACTGTTATTACATTGTTTATAACAGTCATAAGACGCATAATACATGTGCATGTAAATCTTCAGGTTTGTTGATTCAAATATTTTATATTCTCACAAACGCTCTTGACATTTCTTCGTTCTCGTTCCTCATTCTATTGAGAAATGTATTTCCGTATTTTATGTGCTTTTTTGAGACATATTCTCTGTAGGTGTTGTTGTTGATGCCTTTTGGGTATTGAATTTGACTGTCTGACTTTAAATTTTCTAAATTTGTGAGGTTTTTGAGAAAGTTTTACCGAAATTGGAGCTAGATTTATTGTGCATCTGTAATGGTATGACTTCCCTGTTCTAAGCAAGAGGTCTTTGAGTAACGCTAGTGGTAGTGATCTATATTAAATGATTCATGACATCAAACAAAGACTCCAGAAGTCAGAATCAGCAAGATTTGAACTATGGAAGCTCTTACCAAGGTTTTGATTTAGCCTCGGGGGCCCAACATCTTTGCTACGTCCTTAATTCACAAATTTGACATTAAAAAAGACCAAAAAGACGAGAGCAAGGTCTCTGATTCCTGCTCCTAGAATATCATCGTCTAATAAAAAATTATATGCTCTTAATCATCATATTGGAATGGCTGTGGAAGCTACGATTCAAACGTGCTAAAAATTAGAAGCTGTCAGAAGTTGTCTAAGGATAGAGCAAGTTTTAGACAAACTCTGAATGCAGCAATAGGCCCAAGTGCGTCTTAGCAAAGGAAGTAAGTAAGTAACCATCATATTGTTCATACTCTATACGTACATAAATCTAAAGTTATAATTAAGTCTAAACCTTAACACATTCAATTTTCCGAAATGCTATTCCATTCATAAAATTCAATCAGAAGCTATGCAGACTTCCAAAAAAACTGCAATAAAATCGAACAATACAGAATTCCAACTTAAAAAACTTTTTCAATTCATCACAAAATCCTCCACAAATCAATTTTCATTTCCAATAAAAAGAAAAAAAATAAATGCGTCATCAAAACCTTCAAAGATTTGCAGGCAAAGACCCCCTTCAACTCGGCATTTTTATTGTGTTAACTTGAAATTCCTTTCGAATTTTATTTGATGCCATTCTCTTTCATTTATACATTTTTCAGACTTTGGTAACACCATAGAAATGCCGTAATCAAACACAACAAGAAAAAAATCCTACAGATACGTTGAATGTAAGTTTCAGGCTAAATAAAAAACGACGAAAATTGTTTTCCTTTGTCGTTGACACTTGAAATAAATCTTATTTAAATTTATGCTTTTCGAAGCGATTTTTCTTTTCGCTCTTGCTGTTTTATTTTCGCCTCTTTTTTTGCTTTCCTTATTTCTTGTTCTCCTCATCGACTGTTTGCTTGTGTATATCGTGTTATGTATATGTTTAGTGCTTTTTTGCATACTTACTTAATGTAAGCAAATAAGAAGCTACTCAAAAATTTAAATATTATAGTACAGGATCTCTAGTTTTGTCTCTTTCTGTATCCAGTTGATTCAATCGTTAGAAACTTTAGTGGATTGACAATAATCAATTTTGGAGGTGGGAGGTATTTAACAGGATTAAGTCTGAAAAGATTCTCTTCGAACTTTTGTAAATTGAAGAAGTAAATATTGTTTTAAGTCGGTTGGTTCCAACTTCTTTTGCTGTATCCTTGAACCGGTTTTAAAGGCTACTCGGGACCTCCAGTTAAATTTAATCCTGCAACAACCTGAAATTCAGTATATATATACTTAATTAAAGCTATAAAATGTGAATTTAGACATTGAATTGGCTTAAAAGATAAATTTTCATGACATGAGCAAAGAACCTAGTCACAGACATCTAATAATCATCCGGCTGCAACCTCGTTTCAGAGTCTTTCAAAATATCGTTCAATGTTCTATCAATATTAGTCACATTTTGCCTTACCAGCTACTCCTTGTCCCCTTCATCAATATTTCTTAATTTTAAAACAATAAATCCACTAAAATACTTAATACAGCTCCTAATCCTGAACCACATCCATTGCCATTGATGGTGATTAGTAAGTAAAATTTATTTATGTAAATCCTCCTTCTTTCCTTCTTTATTTCCCATCCAAAACGGATGCATAAAGACATTAAAAGCACACAAAAAAAGATACGAGCATAAAAAATAATTTCTTTATTTCTCTTTGACATTGAAATCAATGCGATGCTTGTCGCTGGGCAGTTTTTACACAATAACATACAGCAGTTGGTCTTTTATCTTATTCAACTTTCTGTGATGGCTACTAAGTGAATAATCTATCCATGTTGAGATCTGTGGTAGTAATAGAAAATTCATATAAATTTTACATTAAGGAGCCAGAGATGAGAGATCAATATATTCAAAGCTCAGTAAAAAATTTTGAAAGATTTATTTTATTGTAATGTATTATCTCAAGAAGATTTATCGTCAAAAATCTCAATATTTATAGGAATATTAAAATATGCAAATAAGGACCATAAAAATATTCTAATCTCCAAATTCATTCTTATAGATTTTATGTCTATAATAATTTACTTACAGTAACAATAAGATGTCATATACGAGGACTATAAAGTCATTAAAATTTATAATTTCAAATTTATGAAAAGGTCATCAATCGATCTGGGAGGATAGATAACAAGTTATTGACAAAATAATTAAGAATGACAAAGTTTTGTTGAGTTTGGAAATATGTTTCTTATTCAGTGTTGTGTAAAAGAATCCAGATACTCTGCAAGATTTGAGGTTTGAATTGGAATAAGTTCAAAAGGCAATCTCGAGACATTAGACCATCCAGCCATTTCCAAATTTGTTCTTTTTCGGAAGTTTAGATACTTCGACTGCTTAATGTACGAGATCAAGCCATAATTGGGCATTTGGGCAACGTTGGATTAAGGAACGGGTCAGAAACTTAAAGTGTAGCGGGAGAAATAGGAACGAGAGCTACAAGATTACCCACGAATGGAATATTGTTAGAACGGACCTGAAAAGTATCACGTCACGCCCACAAAAGATCGAAACGAGAGCCTTAGTTTATTTGAAACCTAGATATGAAGATTAGAAGTTTGATCCTACATAATATT